AAGTTTTTTCTACATACCTCAAGGTACCAGCATGGCTTGTGAACACTGCAATGCTGGGGTGGATAGAGTGTCCCACAGGAGTGTTGGGGGGCCCTTCACGTGTTTGGCGGTGAACCCAGCAGTGGACCGGAAATATTTCCGGTCCACTTCTAGGTCTGCCAGGGAGTGCACAGGAGGGGCCCCCTGCGCCCCCCCCCCCGCTCAGCGATCAGCCATGGGGGGACCCTAGGTGCCCCCCCGACCCAGGAGGCACCAGTCACTGAGCCAAGGGGACATGGGGGGGTGTGCTCCCCAGCAGAAGTGGAAGTGCTTTTGGTCCACTTCTGGGTCTGCTGCTGAGTGTGCTAGGGAGGCCCCTGTGCTTCTGTAGGACACTCCATGCACCCCAGCATCTCAGCACTGCTACCTAAAGGTATGTAGAAAAAGCATTTAAAGTTGTCTCTATGTCCAAATCTCTGAATCTTTCTGAATCAATTCAGAGAGATTAAAGGGTCCTCTGATTCAATTTGGAGATTCAGTCACCGAATCGGGCCGAATCTCCACTTGAATCGAATCAGGAACCGAAGCTTTGCACAGCCCTAATGCACAGCGCCATGAACAAAGCCTCTGTCTGTTCCTGCACCATCATGATTTCCAGTTAAACTAGATGTGGTCGTTGACTCTGTTGCACTTACTGGTGCTTAAGTGAAATTGTAGCCCATCTTGTTCAAGTCCTCAAAAAACACAAGCAAACAAAAAAATCATTAACACAAGAAGCATGTGGAGATCCTTCTGATCTTCTCGGCTTTTTATGACTCAGTGTTAAGGCTGAATTCCACCAGGTTGAATAAATTTCTTCCTCTTCCCTAGGACACTGTAAGATTATTCGAAGAGATATTAATACTTTAAAGAGCTTATGTCTTGCTGCTGATGATAATGACTTAGGTTCAGAGAAGGACCATGGACTCCACATCTTCTGATCTATGTACATTAGTTCACTACTTTTATACCATCTTGGAAGTCTGAGGCTATTTTGAATTAAGATATCCTACATATTCTAGTAGTCATAGTGCTGTTGTACCTGTGATGGTCCAGGGAACACATGAGGAATGTGCAGCATATTCTATACATATGTGGAAAGAGGAAACTGGGTTTCTTCAAGCAGCATTGTTTTCTGGTGTGGTAGGCTCTCTAATGAAAAGTGTTTTTCCCAGCATGGTCACAATACTGAATGTAATGTTTTCTGTCATCAATAAATCTCTGCTTTATTTGCATTGTTCTGGAGGCAGGGCTAGGTTTTCCAGTTCTCATGCATACATACACCAAAGATGCTTGCAATATAGAATGCAACTAATGTCGGACTGTAAAGGATTTATTATCCAGTAATATAGTTCCTGCAATTAATCTCCCAGCTAATTTCTCTGATTTCAGACAAGCTCTATTTCCCCAGGCACTTAGCCTTGACAACAGTTTTTCTATTAATTGCTTTCCTACCAGACAGCCTGTTTATAAAAAATTATTTTAACGCCCCGCCCCCTCCAAACCTTCCTTTTTCTTTGTCCTCCCCACTCAATGCAAGAGAAAATGCAAGAGAAATGGTTACAAATGACAGTCATGTGTTCCACGAGAGACTGCCTGGTTTATTTTCTCCTATGGCTATGGTCTATTAGGATGAATAAATTTAAGTGCCAACAATCTCTCACATGGCATTAAATTTTAATATTAACCTGTATTACAACAGTAGTGATATTCTTCAGATATGAATAAAGATCTCCCCATGGCAAACACTGAATGTGCATGCATGTGCATACGCATATGTGTGCACACACACACACACACACACACACACACACACACACACACACACACACAAAGACAGCCTCTGCTCCAACAAACTGTCCAAAACAGATGATAAACTAAGCCTTTTGTGTAGAGCTTTGTGATTGTACATCACCATCCTTCTTGATCTCATAGTGCTTTAGAGACATTAAACTTCATTTCCTTTTTGTCAGTTAGTACAATTTGTCATCAGAGACTTCTCTGTTATTTTCCATAGTGGGGCAAAAACATCCCAACTACCATAGTGAATCAACTTGTTTTAAATACCATACCGGTATGTTCATGTCCATCCCTAGAAATATGATTATCCTCAATTTAAATCCAGGGAAACTGGATTAGAAAAGGTTAAGAAATTTTTCTAGTGTGATAATTAAGTAGTGGCATAGCAGGAAATTATAATACCCAAGTCCTTAGCTTCAGTTAGTAGAGTATTCCCTGGGCAGAGTGTTATACAAAATGTAACTGCTAACTGCACAGTCAGAAGACCAAAATGTGCTATGAACAGTCTCTTCAAGAGACTTTCATAGAGCACCTCTTGCCCAGCTGAATATGGACTAACAAAGGCAACTCTGAGACTTATTTGTTGAAGAAATTCTGCTAGATGACACTGTTAATTACTGAATGGATGAAAAACAGAGAAACAAAATCCTCCCAAAACAGAATAAATCCTCACATGCTGCAAACTGAAAAATCAGGGAAAGTGTGTTGAACCTCAAAGCCTGAATAGAAAAGCATTCCAGAAATGAAAAATAAGCAGAATCATAGAACGAGATGGGATAAATCTTCTTCATTCACCTTGCCAACACCATTTGCTGACAGACCATTCATAATTCCTTAATGATTTCACTGTTAGGATAGTTTCCTGCAAATATATTTCTCCTTTATCATGAAATGTATTAGCTTTTTGGCACATGTTAAATCTATATTTATTAAAGCATAAAAATATCATGAATTGTTATACTAATTTGATTATAGTATTTACATAGAATTGGGACTCCTGCACAGTGTTTATGGGATGAACATTAGAAGTAAAATCCAAGCACATTCTGTTTCTTATTTGAACCAAAAGTTTAAAATGAAGCAAAAAACTTTACTGAATTACATCTTGGAGAAAAAAAAAAAAGATAAAGTACTTAAAAACAACAGGAGGGGAAGCTCAGGAAAATAAACAGCAAGTAGGTATCTCGTTCCACACAGGAGTGTGCCTTTTCTTGCCCCAGTAATGAACATGACTTCAAGTAAACAAAAAAATACATATTTAACTTTATTGATAAGGAGGGAGTCAGTAGTATTGCTTGTGTCAGAAGTATACCATGTAAGGCTTTGCCGTGATCCTACAGAGGGAGTCCTCAAAAAGAAGGTAATTTGCAATTACTGCTTTTGCCTGGCTCAGTCATTACATCACTTAGTATTTACATCACTTCAGCTCTTCACAGCTAATATCTAAACTAATATCTTCTTTCAACAATCCTGTGAAATAAGGTTGGGAGGTTTTTTTGCCTACCCAAATTTTACAGATGTGAAAAGTCTCGTTTCCCCTTGCCTTGCACCTTGTTTTGCCACTTGGGTTAACACTTCCCTTCTGCCTTGGCAGAACTTCACATACACTCTCTCTTCCTTTACAAAGGTGTAAACATGTCCCCAGTCATATCACACGCTGAGAAAAGGCTCAAATAAAATAGAAAATTTCATCCTTCCCTCAAAATGAAACCCTTTAGCCAAATCAAAAGTGTTCTTTTCATTTTCTTCTTTTCCTCTGCTCTCTTGCTTTCTCTCCTAATTTTGATCTGGGTGATTAACAGGGATCCTTGTTTTCCCTGATAAAAAACTGCAAATTCTCTGATAACCACCCCCCCAATCCATGATTAAAAGGAAAGACCCCTCACTCCTCCCCCCACAACCTCCTGGCCCTGCTGGTGCCCCTCACCCCCCACCCACTGCCTCCTGCCCCACTCAGCCCTGGTGGAAGGGGCCTCCAGCTGCCAGGGCTCTGGGTTCACAGTTCTCTTCCCCCAGCAGGAGGCAGCAGCTGCTGCAGTGGAGCATAGCCTGGCTCCCCCACTGCTGCCAACTTGAGGGTGGGGCCAATTCCCCACCCCTGTGTGCACTCCCTGGGTAGTGGGGCCAGGGGGACCTGTTCCCCACAGATCTGTGTGTGGGGCAGGGTGGGGTGGATGTGGGCTGTGAGCTCGGGCTCCCTGTTCTGCTGCCCTTCCCAGGGCCTCCACAGCCCAGCAGGTGTAACCCAGTGCTGCAGGGCACAGCGGGGCCATGCAGGAAAGCTGCATGGCCCTGCAAGCTCTGCATCACCCCTGCCAATGCATCCCTTGTGCATGTGGCAGCACTGAAGGACACAACCTGGTGCCACTGCCTCTGCTGCTGCTATACATGCAAGGGACACCTCACCAGGGCAGCTCAGGGTTCACAGCAGCAAGCAGCTTCCTTGCATGGCCCTGCTCTGCCCTGCAGCACCAGGTCACACCTGATGGGCTGCGGAGGCCCCTGGAGAGGACAGCAGGGCATGAGCCTGAGCTCACAGGAGGCAGCCCACACCACCCCCAACCTGCTCACAGATTTCACAGAATCACAGAAGTCGGGTCGGAAGGGACCTTGTA